GTAATTTAAACCAAAGAAATAAATCTATCAAACCCCGTCAGTTTAATTCTCTAAACTTGGGGATTATAGCCATTCGCATAAATCAAAATTAGTCAAGCATTACAACTGCAAACTATTGTAAATTTGGCTTCAAATTTACATAAACAACTGGGTGTGGCCAGTCACGTGACCAAGCAGCAAAGTTCTTTAAACCGAAAAATAAAAAGCGTCTTTCAAATACTTCAACCTATGCAAGCGAATGAGCGATAGCTTAAATATATTTTAAATTGACCACCCCCTCCAAAATATAGCTAGCCCGACTCCTTAATTCACTTGAGCAAATCTGAAATGTATTTTTATATTAACACCCCACTACTGATTCCAAAGCGTGCACTTATCTAAACATACTCCCATCCTAAGCTCAAAACTAGCCTAAACTCAGTACACCAGGAACTAATAATAATTTTCATGCGGCACCAGATTTGTTTTGGGCAATTAAATTCCAGACAAATAACTAACCAACCAAAAAACTAAACGTAGTAGATTTATACTAAAACAATAAGATTATTATCTCTCTCTGGCTTGTATCAATAAAGTATAACCGTTGAATTACTCAGAAGTTTGTAAATGATTTCTTTCTTCTTACTGAGTTGTAAGCAAAAACCACATGAAAATAAGCTTGTACATCTTGTATCTTCTCATTCAAAGAGTTAAAAAAAGACGAGCCSGAAAATTTGTTTTCTTTGCACCCTGGAGAAGGGAACTTAAATGCACTCTTTCTCTTTTTATAAGAATAAGTTTCGTAAGAATATCGAGGCTGAAAGTTGCGAAATTTTCGGAGTAAACCCAAGGTTGAGATTTTGAAAAGAATACAATTTTATGTTAAAAATTTGTTTACACAATAGAATCTAAGAATGTTCAATAAAATATTTTAAGCCTAAAATCGGCAGAAAAATAGCTATTCAGCCTCGACCGGAAAAATAACATTCTTATTAAGAAATAGCGTACGCAGGGTTGGATGGTGAGGCTTATAGGACTTTCGAGCCTCGCTGTCAAATTGAAGCCGTGTTTTGATTTATTGCCAGTTTGGTTTAGATAAACATACATGTAGACTGACAAGAAGACATATTTTATTCCGCTTTCATTCTTCGTATCGCAAGACCAAAGGGAGAAATTTCCACCAATAAAAAGCTTAAACGCTCAGCAAATTATTGAAATATGGTCATCATTAACTGCCGAACTTGAACATCGTACAGACAGTCACTGTTACGACATACAAGATCCTTCGTGCTTACAATTCGCATTTTTATACGTTTGATTTGATTCCTAAGCAACTCGAATTT